ACAAGAATTGCAGTGAAGGTAGCTCCAGGAGATCAAGGTTTAAATGACTGTATGGACAACAACTTAATGCCTTACTAGATATACTAGATAAGATGTTTACCAGGATAATAAATTCTGGCCAAAAATAGGTAAGCTTCATGACAAGGAAAAAAGCTGAGAGAAATGAAGCCCATGTGGATGGGAGAAGGCATGTAGAGAGTCCATCTGGCAAAATGAGGAGATTTGAACTTAGGAAGAAAATTGCCATTGGTTAGTGGTTTAGAGGCCTTTGGATATGAGTAAGGAAAGCCAAAGGAGTTTTGATAGTAGTGAATATGCATAATTGCTTTTTTTGTTGTTGTTCTGTCATGTGTATTCAGGATCTAGATTAGCATCTGTCACATAAGAAGCCCTCAATATTTGTCAAAAGAATATTTAAGGTGATGGATACACTAAAAACCCTGGTTTCACCACTATGCAATACATCCATGTAGCAAAATTACACTGGTATCTCATGAATTTACACAAATAGCAAACAAGAAAGAATATTTCAATTCTTAAAGATGGGAGATTATCAAAAGAGTACAAAGAGCTATGAAAATGAAAATCATTTGCTATCCAAATATCTGACAGAGTGTCTGGGTACGTATTGTACTTAATATGTTATGGCTTCAATAGCTAATATTTCATAATTTTGACTGAAATCAGCCCTACGGTAGTTGAATCCCAGGGTCATCAATGAATATTTTGGAACATTTTTCAAAGAAGGGGTATATGTAAGGTTAATAAAAGCAGTACAGTTGTAAGGAAGTCATTTTAACTATGTTTAAAAATTTCTCAGTTCCCATCTGTTCATATTATATTCCAGTGCTTTAGGGAAAACACCTCCACCTCTTTGACCTGAAGTTCAGAGCTAAAACTCAAGTTAAAATAAAAGCTGTTCAATATTAATTACAATGATGAAAGACTAGAAAAGTTAGAGAACTATGGTCTTGTGATTTAGTCCCTCAACTAATTGTATTATAAATGAAAGGAGGTTGTTAAAACATCTCGGTAGAAAAAGAAAAGGGGGTAGGTTCTGTAGGAGTATCACTTAGTAAGATGTGTCTCTAATGAAGGAGACACTGCCTCAGTGGGCACCTGTACCTTTGTATGTTCTCCTAAACATTTTTTAAATTCCATTCTGATGTTGGATCTTCTGGCACAGACAAAATGTTATGAGCAAGGTCTCCCATGTCCTGACTCTGACCCTTCATTTTGTGAACCTCTATGCCACACCTCACTTCCTCTGCCTGTGGGCTTGACAAAATGCCCTGAAAAGTGCTGGAATTCAGATATGGGGTTTCTCTAAGACCTTGTGATCATGGTTCCAGAAGTATAGCTTAGGGAACAGACTGGACCTGTTCTCCAGTGTAGTACTTCTTTCCAAGAATTGCACAAAATGGGGCATCCAATGTGGTTTGACACTGTGTTTTGTAGTTTAAATTGTTAATAGTTAATTGTTAATAATAGTTAATTGTTAATTGTTAATAGTTAATTGTTAATAGTGAAAGGGCCCTGTCTAATAATATATCTTGATCTCTTCTAGCTTTAGAGAAGAACGATAAAAGGTAAGAGAATAAGAAAATGATAAAGTGACAATATCTAAAAGAAGATTTAACAATAGTGAAATATGAGCAGTCCTATGATAAACTTACCATGCTATGAAGGTAATTCCACTAAGAGTTTAGGGATAAAAATTGGTATATTTAAAATCCAAATAACTATTTAGATTAAAACAAAAATGAGGCATTTTAAAGTCAAAAGTAGGTTAAATATGGAAGCAATTTATTTAAAAAATACATTTAGACTAGGGAGAGAAAACAGTTTCCCTGTATCTCCAAAGTATGGAATACCCCAGGCAAGAATGGCTGTACTCTAGAAAATAAATCAATGTATGTTTGCAACCAATATTTATTGAACTATGCATACATAAACTTTATTTAATAAGGCATCATGCCCTGACTAAATGATTCTAGTGCTTTTAAATATTGTTTTACACTTATTAGACATGTAATAAATATTTGTAATCTAAATGGAGCTGGCCATTTATTGGATTTTTATATTGAAAATTTCTGCAAGAAGAAAATAGGAAGTTCAAAGGTATATATGTATATATCAGTTTTTAAACACTACAAGGCATACAATAAAAAAGGTTTTGTAGTACCAAGGGCACTGATAATATAACGTCACAATACTGAAAATTGACCCAGTACTTCTTAAAATAAGCCAATTACAGTTTTTCAACTTTGAACTCCTCAGCATACAAATAGCATTTGGGAAAATCCTCTACGGAACACAGAATCAAAGAGAATGTGCCTTCTGTTGGGGAGAGGATCCAACCGCGAAAAGATTTTCATCTTAAAGCTTTTCAGATATTATATCCTAAGGATTATTTAGATTCTGTATCTCAGGTATATATAGATATAGATACACAGATATCTATAGATATACAGATAAAGATATGAATTTCCCACATTTGGGAGGTGCTTTTATTTTTTGGAAGAATAATATTTTCTGAGAATTCTGAGTAAAAACATTTTAGATAAAATATTGCCTTTAGCTGTCATAAGGGCTGAAGACCAGATCAAGTTCCAGTCCAGGTTTTCTTATATATATATATATATGTTATCTACAACTGGTGAAGTAAACATTTTATGTGGTTGGATAGTTTCTAGAATTTATCCTTCTGAATTGGATAGAATTATTACAATTCATAATTTAAAAGATGGAAAAAAAGTATGGTTTGAGATCTTGGCTTGAAAGAAAATTACAATATATTTTTAGTATTATTTTTCTGCTGATAAAATACAACATTTATCTGGACAAGGTGAATATCTATTTTAGCTTGGCTGCAGGAATAGTTAGCATGGAGACACACTGAAGTGGGTAGGATAGATTCTGAGTTTTCATGAGAAATTATATCCACACTATTCACCATAATATATATTGAATTTAAAACATGTACTTATTAATAATTACTTTTTCTCTTAGTAAATATGTCTTTTCTGGGAAATAACTTCTGATTCTTTCCAGAGAAAATATAAACTTGTGTTGAGCTTTGTGGGCTGAGGTAATATGAAAATGTGCTGAGTAGATGTAAATTTCAAATTAATTTTTTTAAACCCTGGAAAATGCACAAATTATGTAGGATGGCCTCTCTTCAGAGTAACTCTTTTTTGTTTTTTTTTAGAAATTGTGACAAGATTATAAACAAACCAAGTTACTTTAAAGTGATTTTTTCTAGAGTAGAGAAATATGACACGTTCCCTATCTTCTGAGGGTAGATTTTTAAAATATTTTTAATACACTGAGTCAAAGTATTTGGAATTAAACAGTCACCCTTCTGTTTATTAGTTTCTTTAGTTGAAACTGTTTTCAGGAGGAAGGATATTGAAACTGAGGTGGATAATTTAAATTGGCAACTTCATGTTGACATTTGCCTACTAGCTAAATTTTACCACTAAAATGATTGCCTGTCATTCTATAATAAATAATATAATTTTTATGAAAAAGATTGATTAAATTGGGTTTATTTTTCTCTAACTGCAAACATTGCTTCTATGCACATTGTGCATTTTTAATTTTTATTACAATTTTATGCTTTTTAAATGGAGCTTCCGCCTAGGAAGAGTTAGCTCCTGGGATTGCTCCTGCTTATTTCGTTTGCCTCTCTTTCTCCGAAATGACGCATGAAACATGATCCAAAACACCCCCACTGAGACATATGAATTACCTGTCTACTTGTGGCTGGGAAAACTCAGAGGGGACTGTGCAATGAAGCTAAAATGAATGTTTTTGCCAAAAGCGAAAATTGGACAAATAGCAGGAATCTAGTAGTTTATTACATAAAAATTCCTATTTAGGTATGAATTTCTTTAAATGAAATGAAAGCATTTTTTCCTGTATCTATGATGCTAAGGCTTATTGCATTTAACATAGGTAAATATTTAAGTAGTCCTTTTTTTTTTTTTTTTTTAGGTTTCTATGCCTAATGGTAAAGCATGTCTTCAGAATGTGAGGATACTTTTTCTAATCAATCAGATAATGAAGATAAAACCACTCCTGCAAACCCAAGTAATGTCCTACAAAACATGTTTATTATGTAGACATATCCAATAAATAAAACAGATGGTTTTTAAACTCTGTTCACTGCTTCCATGATATCGTTCTTTTGATAGTTTGCTACTAATTTCCATATGTTCTTTTTTATTCCAAAGATGATTTTCAGGGTCTAGTCAACAAAACCTTTTGAGGGAATACAACTCATCTTCTTTTCTTGCTTATTTTGTAAAGGTATAAAATCTTCCTCTCAAAATATATCTGAAGATAGCATTGCTGTTATTAAAGTCAAGAGGAGATCAGTTTTTTGGAAAATAAACTAATATTTTCCAAACTGGATGAATAAGATGATCCATTCAAATTTGAAAAAGTCACAGAAGATATTTTCATATGTCATTTTTTGAATTTCTATTTTTGAACATTTTATAATATTCTTACAAAATTATCAGCAAAAAAATCATATTGAAGCAATAATATTTTAAAGTGGTTATGGATGTGCCTCTTGAACCTAATTAGTTGACTCCAAATCCTCCATCAATCCCTTGCTAGATAAGGCACTTTGACAAGTTACTTCTCTGTTCATTATCTTTTAAACAGGGATAGTAATAGTACCTGTAACTGCCTCATTAATGATATGATGATTAAATGAGTTAACAGTTATAAATAACTTACAATAGTGAATGGCATGTTTAGCTCTTATTAAAGTATGTTTATATATAATTTGTAAATAAATAAATGCACCTGTATTGAGAATATATACATTTAAAAACTTCTTTAAGTAGCATATAATCAAAATTTAGCAATCCTTAAAATATATGTATTTCTAATCCAGGAATACTCAGATGTCATGAGAATAGGTCTTAAAAGCAATGATAATTTTATAAGTGCATGGAAAAGAAAACTTACAGTTTAATCAATAAAAGGTCTCATGATGCAAATATTCTCCTTGCTGATGCATGTCATAACAAAAGCAACTGTTGAGGAGCACAGATATGGGTTTATGTCTGGCTCTTCCAATATCTGTTTGTGAGTTTTTAGGAAAATTAGTTCAGTGATCTGAAAATCACTTTTCTCATTTAATAAATTGCAATAGAAATATTTATTTCATAGTGTTAAACAATTTATTACATTCTCCTGGTTAATGGTGAGAAAAAAGAAAAAAATAAACAATTTATTATATGGAAGGTGCTGAGCACATTGCTTGCCACATAAACAATGCTAAAAAAATGTTTAATTTCACTCTTCTGATCACATTGCCTTAAATTCCTATATTCCTCATATAATATAATTAATATAATTTTTTATTTGTGGAAATCATGTTGTAAACTTTTATTTTGCATTATTTATTAGCTAATCAATTCATCTAAAGCATTCTAAGAGCATGGAATGAGTATGTTGATGAGGTTATGGAACACAATCAGAAGGATGTGTGATTTTTCCTTGTGGACATGATGAGCTTCAACAGGTTTTTCCTGATGGTGGACCTCTGTAGGCTATGCCCATTAGTCCCACTAACATTGCATGTGACTTGTCTGTGAGATTGCTTAGCTGGCATGCTTTCTCAGCTCAGTTGTGGTACCAACCACTCCACTGACTTCCATGTTACACAACATAAAGGCATGGGAAAAGTCCACACCTACTTCCAACCTCTAAAAGTGTACTTGAGGAGTGAATTCTATCTTCTCATTCCTAGGCAACTAAACTTTGGTCTATTTAAGTGTTATGTACTTATCGGCTTTAGAAATCTCCAGATCAAGATCAGGGATCATGTCCTATATAAAAGTATATTCCTCTCCCTATAGCACTGATGTCTACACCAAGCTTTCCCAAGAGAAAACGGACCTTATATCTAAGAACTTAGAATGTTTTCAGAACTGTCACTTTCTCTAATGTCTCCTGCAGGTAAAAGCAAGAACATATTAGTTTGGTTTTCTTGAGCTTAGAAGCATACTACGTACCTCTTACCAAGATCTGAGCCCTCTTAAAATACATGCTATGAGAATTTACTGACCATCTTCTCAGGCATATTGTCAACCATAGGATACTTCAGCAATCTAGAAGAACAAATACACATATACATATATAAACTTTGATATGAAATGTATGTCACTCGAGAGCCACATGTGGCTGGGAGGAAGGGGCAGAGGACACGGAAAAAGAATAATAAAATAGGGACAGGTACTGAAACAAAGTTCCTTCTTAAAACATATTTTTCCTACACTTGGCATTTAATACAACAGAGATCTCAAAAACACTAAATTAAAAATTCCTTAAGAGATACTTATTTTAGCAAGTGGATTGATGCAGCAATTCAAAGACTGATGAGTTCTTATTTGGGCATATTGGGTTTAGGAAATCTGTAGGCATTTGGGTGGCAATGTGCAGTCTACAGCAGGATGTATGGGTCTGGATTTACAGGAAAGTTTGCAATAGCGGTGAGTATGCAGGTGAACAGGGAAGCCTTAAGTGGAAATGAAATCACTAAAAGAGTGTATATGAAGTGGTAAAATGATGAAGAACAAAAACTGAGGTTTAAAAAATACACGGAGAAATGGAACCTGCAGAGAAGCCTAAATATGAATGACTGCAATATTATGACTTATCATAGAATCAAAGAGGAGAGCTTTTAGGTAAGCGTGAAGTAGAGACTAGTGTCACAATCTCCAGAGAAAACATATCCAAACAGATGATGTTGAAACAAGAACAGGGAGTAATATTTACCTTGGTGAGACAGCGTTTCAAAACACATAATGTGGAGAGAAACTATAAATGAATGATTTAAGAATAAAAGGAAGTGAAAATATAGACACTGGAGTAGATAGATACTATTTATAATGTTTGTATATTTGAGGGATTTATTAAGAATTATATCATAATTGATCAAAAGCTTTTTAGAAATATAGATAGATGTTAAAATAGTTACTCTTTTTTTCATGTTAGGTCTCATTATTTACTACATGCTCAGCTCATTTCCCTGCTTTCTTACCAATGCATTTTGTGGGTTAGATCAAGAAAGTGCTTTGGTGGCTTTGGGTACTTCGGCTAATATGATAGGCATTATGAAGCAAGACATAGTATAATTATTATGAAGGAAAAAAAGCTAATGTTCACATAATACATGAGGTGTGGTCAAGAACAGGCATCCTCAAACTAGGGCCCGTGAGCCACATGAGGGTGTTTTTTCCCATTTGTTTTTATACTTCAAAATAAGATATGTGCAGTGTGCATAGGAATTTGTTCATAGCTTTTTTAAAACTATAGTCTGGCCCTCCAACGGTCTGAGGGACAGTGAACTGGCCCCCTATTTAAAAAGTTTGAGGACCCATGGTCAAGAACATAGTTGCTGATCAAGAAAAGTGCTGAGTTGGTTCTAGGAGAAATGTGTTTTCAAAACCAAATCATCCTATCTATTGAAGGCTAAGATTATCAGTGGGTAAAGTGAGGGGCATTCTGATTAACATAGTTTTATATTTGAGATGAACCAAGACTTATACTCTACCCCATAAACTCTTTTTTATATCAACCTATGAGAAGGGTATAATTTAAATTTTAGAGATTAATATACTTTAATAAAAAATTAAATAAATGTTTACATGGGCATGTCCATGAATGGTGGTAACATATTAACTCTCATTAATTAAATAGAATATTTCTCACTGTTAGTGAGCTGCGGAACATGGAAGAAAGGCCAAAGGGGATAGAAAACTTTAGACATCTCAAAGCCTGGATAGTAGAAAGAAAAAGACATGAAGTAAAGTATGAGTTAGGAAGAAATATATTTGCCTTCTATGCTAAACGTGTAATTTCTTGCTCACATTGGTGAATGTGAGCTTAAAATCTTAAGCTTAAGAGAATTTACTGAATATACATACTTAAGTGCTGCAATTGAAAGTATATTGGTAGCACAGAGAAGTAGCATTTAATGCCATATATTCTGGATTAGATAATTTCTAAGCAAAGTTTTAAGACAATAACATTGACATAAAATTAAAAATATATATATATGTATTTAATAAGTGACAGATTCATAATACCATTTTAACCGCCTGTTGATTTTAAGAGAAAATGCACACACTCAATTGCCAGAGGTACTCACTCAGTTATGACAATCCATGAACTGTGGTCAAAGGTGAATAAATCCATGTGAGAGATGGAGATTGTGCTGTTCTCAAAGGTATAATCAGGACTCACATATAATTAGGATTTTTTCCTTCATTCTTCCTCATACATTTTTATATTACTCATATCACTACCTCCTTTTCTTTTGCAGTACTCTCAGTATACACTGAGTCATCACATAAACCCAGACAGATAATCTGCAAATCTTTATATTGATGAATTGGTCAAGGCTTGACAAACTCAAAGAGAAAGGGCCATTACTCCTTTGCTTGCACGAAATGTACTTTTAATGACATCCAGACCCATCAGTCTTTAACCACATGGCAAATGGGCCTTCAGGAGATCCTGGCATTTGGTTCATTTTATAAACAAGGTTTTGGTCAATTTTAAACTTAATCACACTCTTACATTTATGCTTTTTAAAAGTCCCACTAATGCTTATATTAATCTATTCCTTAAGTTAGAATTATCTCAGTTTCAATCAACAAGAGAACTGTATATCACAGGCCTGTTTAAAACATTATAAAATTTAGCTAAGTATTGGCCACTGTCTATAACACTTATTTCTTAACATTTAGATATCACAACATATCACAACATTGAAGAAAATCTCTTGGAAACCAGGAAAATGTCAGTGGTGTGCTATAGTCCCAAAGCCATAGGGGGACTCTCAATGTGTTTTATTTAGACTCACTCAGTATATAGTCTTTTCTCTGATATTGCTTAGTAGTTATCTGTATAATTATTTTAGTAATGAGAGAACAAGCTCCTTAAAAGCAAGTATAATTCTTATTTTTACGTTTATTATAGTCTCTATTTCAGTCTTTTTTACAAATTTTGAATGAAATTGGTTGTAGATGACAAAATATCCAGAATTCAATTTTTTCTAGAATCATTTTTAACATAATTATGAACAAAAATGTACCATTTTATTATGAAGAATTGATAACCATTTCATCATGCATAACGTTATTAAAGAAAAGAACTTATCTAAGAACCACTATATTCTTAACTGAAGGCAGCATTCATAATTAAAGCCCTCTAAATATCTAGTATGTAAAAAAAGAACTAGTATAAAATTTCAATATTTTACATGAGACTTTACTACATATGATAACAGGTAAATTCCAATTCCAAATGAGCTCTTCATGGAAAATCAGTGTGGATTTAACACAGAGCAAAGTCTCTGTGAAGGAATTCATGATACAACTTCAGAAATTCACCAGCAGTAAATCCCTGGAACTGGATGAGCGCTCTATGATGAGGTGTGGAGAAAATACTGTGTGAAATAGCAGAGATATTGACAAGGAAATACCTTAAAATCTTTAAGCACTTGATGATTGGAAAGTTTTCCATTCTCAAAAAGGAGTATAGAAATCTTAGCAAAGTAGTCTACTGAGTTTAAACTAAGAAATGGTATAAATAATATAGTAAGTTGATGATTAATATAAAGTGCAGTTATGTGTTGCATAATGACATTTTGGTCAATGACTGACTGCATATATGACAGGGTTTCCATAAGATTACAATGGAGCTTAAAAATTTCTATCTCTTGTCATTATGACATCATAACACAATGCATTACTCACAATGCATTACTCACATGTGATGTAGGTAATACATGAACCTACTATGCTACCAACTGAATAAAAGTATAACACAAATGTGTAATTTATGTGCAGTATACAATACTTGATATGATAATAAACAACTACGTTATTGGAGTATATGTTTTTTGTTTACTTATTTGTTTTTTTGAGACAGAGTTTCTGTCTGTCATCTTGGCTAGGCTGCAGTGGCATCATCATAGCTCACTGCAACCTCAAATTCCTGGGCTCAACTGTTTCTCCTTCCTGGAGTATATGTTTATCATACTATGCTTTTTATTGCTATTTTAGAGTGTACTCCTTATAAACAAAAAAAAGTTAACTGAAAAACAGCCTGAGGCAGGTCCTTCAACAGGTATTCCTGAAGTATTCAGAAGAAGGCATTATCACAGGAGATGACAGCTCCATATGCGTTATTGCCCCTGAAGACCTTCTACTGGCACAAGATGAGGAGGTGGAAGACAGTAATGTTTATGATCCTGACCCCATGTAGGCCTAGGCTAATGTGTGTATTTGTGTCTTAGTTTTAAACAACAAAGTTTAAAAAATAAACAGTAAAAAAGCTTATAGAATAAAGATATGAAGAAAAAATAATTTTTGAACAATTCTAAAATGTGTTTATGTTTTAGGCTGTTGCTACAAAAGTGTCAAAGAGTTTAAAAGAATTAAAAAGCTTATAAATAAGTTACAATAAGTGAATATTAATTTACTATTGAAGAAAGAAAATATTTTTATATGTTTGATGTTGCCTAAGTATACAGTGTTTATAACACCTACCGTGGTGTACAGTAATGTGCTAGGCCTTCACATTCACTCCCCTCTCCCTCACTGACTCACCCAGAGCCACTTCCAGTTCTGTAAGCTCCATTTGTGGTAAGTTCCCTAGAAAATGGTATAAGTGTTTCATTTTTAATCTTTTATACATTATTTTTACTGTACCTTTCCTGTGTTTAGATATGTTTAGATATAGAAATATTTAACCATTGTGTTACAGTTGCCCACAGTATTGAGCACAGTAACATGCTGTACAAGTTTGTAGGCTAGGCAATACATAGTTTGTAAAGCTATGCCATATAACCTAAGCATGTAGTAGGCTAAGCTGTCTAGGTTTGTGGAAATACACTCTATGATATTTGCACAATAAGGAAATCACCTAACAAAGCATTTCTCAGAACTTATCCCCATCATTCAGTGAGACATGACTATAATGTAATTGTAACACACCTTAAGGGTAATTGTTTTAAGGTTTAAAGGTGAGATAACTTGCCTTTTCCTGATTAAAAAGCTCATATAGTCTTTCACAAATGAACCCCATGACTTAAACATTTCCTAATTGAATATGTTAAACTACTTTTAAGTTAGTTTGATTTGTATTATTCCAAGACATTGCCAATCAAATATTTTAATAAGCATTATAAATACAGTGTTTACACAGCAAAAGACAAAGCATAAATAATTTTAAACATTAAAATTAAAACACTTTGTTTTGAATATATTTTTCTTTCAGGGTTTTTTGAAATTTTAAAGTAACTTCCATATTCCCATTATTATTAATATTTGTGAATATTTAAAGGACCTGAGAATCTCTCATTTAAAAAAATGTGATAAAACACTTAAATTTTTAAAACTTTATCATAATCCTTAAAAATATTTCAACATATCTCCAATAAAGGTAAAACGGAATCATAGTAAATATATTTCTTTCAAAATATTGTTTTTCAAAACTGTGTAAAGAGCTATTTTTTCTTTCCCCCTAATGAGGAGACTTTAATTCCTGCCTGCCTGCCTGTGCGGTTAAGGACAGCTGGACACAGAACTGCCCCAACTGACTGACCGATTTGCATATTGTGATATGTAAGTTGCAGTTTCATTAGGAGCTGGACACTTGTTCTGAATGATTTACCTGTAGAGGTACCACTACCACCAGCACTGAACAGATGGTCCCTGAATGATGATGATTTAACTTGTAATTTTTCAACTTTAGATTGGTGTGAAAGTGATACACATTCAATAGTAAGTGGTAAATACTCTCTGGTGATGCTGGACAGCTCCCAGTCAACTATGTGATCATGATCAGAGGGTAAACACAGTGTAGTGTGTTGCCAGATGATGTTGCCAAACTGTAAGCTGATGTAAGTGTTCAGAGCATGTGTAGGTATAGGGTAGGCTAACCTATGATGTTTGGTAGTTTAGGTGTATTAAATGTATTTTCAAGTTACAATGGGGTTTTCATGACTTAACTCCATTGTAAGTTGAGGAGATTCTGTATTACATTACAGTATTTTCTGGGTTGTAATATGTTGTCAAGCACTATATTTTTAATGACCATGACAAGTCCAAGAAGTAAAAAGCAGTAATTGCTCTAATTTTATCTTCAAAGAAACTGGGCTCTGTAAAATTATCTAAATTTATTTGTTTAATTACATGATCAGTAAAAGAAAAAAAAAATAACTGATTCTTCATTAAGTTTCCCCTTCATAAAGATGAATCTGCTTCTTCCTTTACCTCATAGTGCAAATTCTCAAGCTGATTGACTGGGTTAAAAAAGTAGTCTAAAGCTACGAAGCAATATTTTTTTGTTTGTTTTCTTCCTCCCCTGTGAAACTATAATTGATGTGCTTGAGGGCTGCACCTCTGTCCTGATTTCATTATTAAAATTCTCAACAAGATATATTGATGAACTCTAATGAAATGAATTTTTTTTTCCTATTGAGATAGAGAGTAAGAGAAAATGATAAAAAATGTGAGTAGATGTTAAAAAAAAATCTAGGATAAATTTAATGTATCAGAGCTGGAGCAGTATCAGATTCCCATATTGTGCCTGAATTTACCAGCTCCTGAAAGTGTGAAAAAGGCTTAGAAACTTCATAGATACCTCAATGCCCATGATCCACCCACTTTAGGGTGTGATTTGAAAAGCAAATGGTGTGTTGATGGCATTAAAAAAGGTATAAAAGACATTTTAATGACAGTGTAATCAAAGATTATACACCAGCTGTCACAACTAAGGCAACCATAGTAATTGGGGGTGACCAGAAGGCTTTCCAAAATAAGCTTCTTTTAAAGATTCATTTAAAACTGTCACCAAGGGACTGTTGACATTTTAATTTTTTCTTTAGATTGGGAGTTCTTATTTTATTTCTTTTTATCTTTTCTTTGCAGAATAGTATAGCTCAATGCATTATCAGTATGCTCTATAGTGAATAATCAGATATAGATGCAAAGAAAATGGAAAATATTAGTAGAATAAAAATTTTTATTCAAATTAAGTCTATTTTGAAGGAAAGCATTATAATAATTGATTAACATATATTTATTTAAATATTGCAATATAAATTGTACATTCAAAATTAATATTTATATCATTGAATTAGTAATATTTCTTGATATCACAGGTTCATAATTCTATGATCAAAAAGCAATCACTAGTATTTATATAAGTGTAATGATTAATTGTGATGCTTTTTATGGTTCTGCGTTCCAACAATTTTTGCCTAAAAATATTAGGAAATTTACACAGGGATAATTACTTTGCTTACAAGTTTAGATTTTGAGTATTTTCTAAAGTATTCACTTAAATTACACTATAATATTTTGTTACAGTAGTAAATTATTTTGTATTTTGCAAAACGTTTCCTACATATCTTGCATTTATTTCTCTCAACAGCCAATAAATAAGAGCAGGCATTAGCAGCCACATTTTACAGATGTAGAAACTGAGAATCTGAAAAGTTGATTATTCTAGATTACATAATGAAGAAAAGTGTACCTAAGGATTAACTTTGGAGCATCTTTGGCATGATTTGGTATCTCCAATTTGTTTGTTTAAGACATTTTAACAGGTAAGCAGTGGTATGTCATTGTAGTTTTAATTTGCATTTCCCTAATGACTAATGAGGTTGAACATCTTTTCAGCTGCTTGTTTGCCATCCGTATATTTCCGATTTTCATTGGTGAAATATCTGTTTAAACCTTTTGCCCATTTTTAAAATTAAGTTGCTTTCTTGTTGCTGAATTTTGAAAGTTCATTATGTATCCTGCATACAAGTCTTTTTGTGGAATATAGAATTTTCAAATATTTTCTCACTATAAGTAGCTTATTATTTATTCTCTTCATAATAACTTTTTAAAAGCAGAAGTTTTTAATTTTAATGAAATTTAACATGTCATTTTGTGGATTGTGCTTTTGGTATTGCATGTAAGAAAGCTTTGTCCAGTCCAGGGTTACAAATATTTCTGCTAAGTTTTCTTTTACCACTTACATCATCTTACATTATGTATTTAATTCTTTATAATTGTGCTTAGTCAATTATCAATTTTTATTTAGATTAGTCTTTTGGGACTAATATGTATGCTCTTCAAAATGGCTAAGGATGATCTTATTGCCATTCTCAAATCTCTAGCAATAATAGCTTTACATATTCATAACCAATAGAATTTGTATCAATTTATTCCATAATATTCTTATTCCTTACAATGTGGGCTATGTTCATTTCAGGCCACATTAATTAATCTGAAGGAAATGAAACCCTTTGATGTCTAGGAATTTTGAAATTTGAATGTGACATTTTGAGTTTATGTTGTTGTTTTATACTTGGGTCCAGAGTACATTACTCTCATAAACTTGAAGATCTCTGAGTTAGATGCCATAAAAAATGAATAAGAATTTATTATTATTGCTTTCTTGAGTTCTTCTGTACCAAGGTGCTAAATGTACTTTTTCAGTTGTCTTAGCTTTGGCTGAGGCCCATGAGCCTGAAACAAAAATTGTCAAGTTATCCCACATTCTAAGAAGAGTTGCCAGATCTTA